CTGGGATTATTGGATGTGAGTGTTATTTGTTGTATAACACTTATTTGTTGTAACTTTAGTTATTGTAACTTTACTTGTCAGGTTCGGGTCGGAACTGCTCCCTCTCCCAAGAACATCTCAAGTCTCTGCTTAGTGCGGAGCTCATTCCCCCCGTCCTGCCCCCCTCCGTTGGCTGGCGCTTGGGCTCACTGCCGCATTGGTGGTGCTCGCTGTTTGGGGGTTGGTGCCCTGGCGGATACTGGCTTATTCCTGGTGGCTGCCCGTGGGGAGCCCGCAAACTAGTCCCCATGGCTCCGGCATTGCAGTGGCTGGGGGTTTTCCTTGGGGCCATCTCTCCTCCTCCCTTGGTGAGGGAATGGATTTCCTTGGTTGGCCCCTCCTGCTCTTCGGATCCCTTTGGGCATCTGGGGCTTTGGGTCCCCCGGCGCTCTGGAGGGGCATCTCTTTTGCTCCTCACAACCACTTTTGAGCATTTTTCCTTTGGATAAACTTTACATGCAGAATTGCACTCTCACAAAAAACTGCAGGTGCTTGGTTCCAGGTATTTAGAGATTCACTTCCATACAGAAAGCCCATATTCTGATCTTCAGCTACCACAGTATACATTTCTAATTAAATAATACTACTTATACTTCAGCGATAGTATCAAGGTTTTACTTTATTGTATCTCTTATACTATATCCGTTGGTTGTGCTATTCTTTATACATCTCTTTGCAGGTAATGAAGCAGTCTGATGTTTTATTGTTATCTCCCTTTTATCTCCTCTTTCTTTCATTTCTTTCTTCTTTATAAAATCTTCTTCCATAAAATATGTAATACTCCCTGCATGAATCATAATAAAGCTATCAATATGCATTAATCAAGTAGAACACTATGGCAAAAGCCGTACTGCTCCATTTGTGAAAGCCTGTGCCTGACTTGGTTGTGTATAATTTTAAAGTGTATGGCATTGATAATACTTGAAGAAGGAAAACTGAAGGCGTATAAAAAAGGTTGAATTTTCTGTCTAAACTTGGTATAAATTTCTCCTGCACTTGGTTGTGTCTATTATTTAAGTCAATTTGACGTTCAAAGTTTACCAAAATATGAAAAATGTCATTACTTTTTAATCAGAATCAGACATACTTTAATAAACCCAGAGGGAAATAACTTTTGTGACACGCTCCAGATTTACAAACATATATATATATATATATATATATATATATATATATATATATATATATATATATATATATATATATATATATATATAAATATAAGTCCAAATAAAGTGATAGTGATGTTGTGCAAAAACAGTGCAAGGAATGAATAAATGTCAATTGCAGAGGTGGTGTGTCTAAATCACTTGAGGGAGGTGTTGTAGAGGTTGATGACCACAGGCAGGAATGATGGCGCTCTGTGGTGCAGCTGGGTAAAAGGAGTCTTCTGCTGAAGGAGTTCGTCTGCTGGACCAGTATGTCCTGGAGAGGATGTTAGTCTTTGTCTAAGATGGTCTGAAGCCTGGAGAGCATCCTCCTCTCTGCCACGGTCATCAGAGTGTCCAGCTCCTCCCCCACAACATCATCTGCCCTCCTGATCAGTTTGTTCAGTCTGTTGTTTTCAGCGACCCACTGCCCCAGCATGTGACAGCAAAGAAGAGCGTGCTAGCAACAACAGACTCATAAAAATTCCTCAGCATCGCCCCACATATGTTAAAGGACCTCAGCCTCCTCAGGAAAAAGAGTCGGCTTTGGCCCTTTTTGTAGAATGCCTCTGTATTTCTAGTCCAGTCCAATTTATTGTTAAATTACACTCCCAGGTACTTATACTCCTCCACAGTGTCAACAGGAACCCCCTGGATGGAAACAGGGGTCACAGGTGTTTTTGTCCTCCTTAGATCCACTATTAGCGCCTTAGTCTTTGTCACCTTGTGCTACAGATGGTTCAGCTCATTCCAAGTGACAAAGTTGCCCACTATCGTCCTGTATTCACTCTCCTCACCCTTTTCAATGCAGCCAACAATTGCTGAGTCATAAGAAAACTTCTGAAGGTGGCAGGACTCAGAGCAATAGTTGAAGTCTGAGGTGAAAAGGATGAGGTGAGGGGCCCCAGTGTTGCTGATCACCCTGTCAGACACACAGTTCTGTAGGCGTACATACTGTGGTCTGCCCGTCAGGTAATCAACAATCCAGGACACGATGGGTTACGCTTACGCTTTTCATTACATTACTTGAGCACATCTATTTTTACAGTAATCTATTTTTAATCTATTTTCTATTTTATAATCTACACTTTTTATATATTGATAATCATTTACCAAACATCAAGGAATGAAAAAAGCTTTGTACTGGTTTAGGTTTTACTGAGATTATAAAGATAAGATTAACACAGATCATTAAATTTGAAGAAAAGTGTGACTCAAAAGGACCACATCTTATCATCTCCTCATTTGTTAAAGAGTTTTTTACCTTTTATTTTAGAATGAAACACCACAGCATATAAATGTCTTTTTCATCCTCCATCAAGAAAGTCAAACAGTATTTTATGTCTCTATAAATATCTTTAAATCTACATGAGACATATGGAGTAAATGTTTCTGCACTTTAGACAACAAACTTGCTTTTTTATTTAAAGGCTTTAGAAGAAAAGAGCATTAGAACTAAACTGATGTTAAATTCAATTCTGTTCTGTGGATTACATAAAGAAAACTGAGTCAATTTGACAATAATTTTATCTGATTTAAATGAGAGCATTTGTTCTACAAAAAAGTTAAAAGAACAACCAGAACTTTCAAATCAGGTTATACAAATATTAAAGCAGAAAAGCCCAAACAAGTTTCCATTTTCATGTGGAGAGATATTCCTGTGTCGTTAAAGAATAAAATAAAACATCAGCAGTGATATCCTCTATTGCTCCTAGAACACAGACACAGGACCTTATCTATCATCATTTGAAACAGGAGAATAAAGCAGGTTTGGAAACCAAAAACTGCATGCAAATAATCGGTTTGTTACAGGGGATCTACTAAGATTGTATGTGCAAATTATATGTGGTGCACAGTGCTATATTTAAATCAGGATGGAGTTGAAAGATATAGTTGATAATGACAATGATTTTGATTGATTGATTTTGATAATTATTAATTATACAAGTTTCACAAAGTTACAGTTACAGTTAGAAGAAGAAATAGTAAAACATGGAAAGTTCAGTCCTACAGACTCTCATTGCCATGGAATTAATCAACACATTGTGATAAGCAGATTATTGAAATTAAGTTACGTGATTCAATTGAACAAAAGCCTTAAAAACAATGTAGGCCCAATGAAAGCATAGATTTTCAATATAACACAACTGTGCTGGTCTGCTAGAGCAAGTAAAAAGACCATGAGGAAGAAAAAACTTCCTTTTGACTCGGTCCTCAAAGGTCTAGACTTCACAGCTTTCTATTTGGCTAAATAATAACTTGAGAATCAATTCTCCATTACCAGCATAACTCATACTCAGTGAGACTAGAATGGGACAGAGTTATCATGAGGTTGTGAGAAAAGAAGAATTTCAAAGCAGTGCTGCATACAACTGATGAAAGATGGGAAAAGGCCTACATACAGACTCAGAAAGGTAGAGGTAGAAGGGTTCCAGGAAGAACCCATCCTTTTTAAAGCCCTAAGAACAATGATGATTGTTATTAAGAGTACACACCATCTTCACGAGCAGATAAAATGTGTCAAGGAGTTATTACAGGAGTAACGCATAATGCAGAACTGGAGAGCTCCCTAAATGCTACACTCTAAATGCACCACTGAGCGTTGTCACAGGTCCTTCCTCCCAGAAGCTGTAGGACTTTATAACCAACAACATCAATTAGTTGTTACATTCAGGCTGACTTTGCACAGTTTCTATCTTAGTCAGTTAAATAACATGCTGCTGTCATGTTTGCACCTCTCTGATGTTGCTGCTATTTTCAAATGTCCGTTGCTGTAAAAATGTCCATAGCTATATATTGGTTATTTAGTCTCCAGGAGCACAGTTTATATATTGTAAAAACACTTTACAGTACAGTATTTTATTGTATATCTTAAAGCTACAGTGTGTAATAATTACAGGGATATACAGTCAGACATGTAATATATTATACATAACTATGTTATTTATCATCATCTACGAGCTCAGCCTCTTAACCTTAATATTTGCGTTGCCTTAGAATTCGTTATTTATAATTACATAGGAGCGGGTCTCGCAGCCATGGAGGCAGACATCTTTGCGCTACGGCAGCGCAGAGCCAACAAACTAGTGATTGCGAGATCGCCAAAACGTCACAACAATGTAGAAAAAATAACGGGTATATTTATTATCTTAAGTCTACATGAAATCTATACCCTACACAGACTAATTAAATACTATCTGTAAAATTATCTATGTAAACAAACCTCATCACTTGAGAAGGTAGGTGATGCAGACGTCGTGGAAGACATTTTGTCCCGTAACGCTCGCCGTACTGTTGGGGGGGAGAAGCGGTGGGGGGATATGTTCATGTTGCTGCAGTCTGCAGTCTGACCGCTAGATGTCGCTAAAAGTTACACACTGTAGCTTTAACTCTTCACTGGTATGTTTTTCTTACACATTGTCTAAGGTCCATATTTGTGTGAAAATTTTTTTCTATAATCTTTGTGCTGCTGTAAACACCAGAATTTCTCCATTGTGGGACAATAAAGGGGATTTCTATTCTATTCTAATATACAAAGGCAAGGAGACACTGTCACTGTTGGTTTCTAGATCAGCTTTGTGTATGCAATGATGTTTGTCTGTAACCTGACAACAGCCAGATGCATGTCTCGCTCCGCCTAGTGGAGCTGGGCGGAGCGAGACATGCATCTGGCTGTTGTCAGGTTAGTTTGTCTGTATTTATGCATTAAAACCTTCAATCCACAGAGTACAACTTTGGAAAAAAAGAAGAATACTAGGACAGTGGAACAAAGACATTAGAACAGTATATAGTATCAGAAAGAAGAGAGAAAATCTATTTGGGTTTACAGAACTCACCAGTGTCATTCGTTCCAACCCAAAGTCCAGCATATAGTGGTTGATGGAATGTGGTCTGGACTCTGTGGAGGAGAGTCATGGTTTCAGAGACACTGTAGAAGGAAAGAATACCAGCTGAGTGATCCAGGTACACTCCTATTCTGGAGGACGGTGGAAATTTGTAACCGGTCCACCTGTTGTTATGACCAACTCTAAAAAGATTACCGTAACACTCTAATGACCAAGCAATATCATTATATCCAAACACACTAATTGGTGCACTTACTGTTTTGACATTCTTGTATGCTACTGCAATAAGAACTTTTTCCATCCTCACTACCCACTCCACCTCCCAGTAACAACGTCCAGTCAGATGCTGTCTACTAAGTACTTGAGTAGGAGAAAAAAATCTGTCTGGATGAGGAGGATAAGGTTGATGTTGATTCCACCTTGTCACTGTCCTGTTTCCATTCAATAGTACTATCCACACATGCGCTGTGTTTGGATCTAGTGTGATTTCACAATAATGTTTCGAGAAACCAGCTCTACTCCTTGGTTCTGGCCCGGAAAGCAAAACCTCAACCTCGGCGACTGCCAGTGAGATGTTTGTCCATGTGTCTCTCAGAATGTCCTGCAGTTTATCTCTGAGCTCTGACACAGCTGCTGTCACATCCTCAAAGTGTCTCAGAGGACGGATATTGATGCTGGATGAGTGTGTAGACTCACTGAGTGCTGACAGTGAGGGGTAGCTGTGGAGAAACTGGTTGTGATCCTCTGTGTTTAAGAGCTGCTTCAGCTCAGCTTCTTTCTTCTTCAGCTCAGTGATCTCCTGCTCCAGCTTCTCCTGAAGCTCTTTGACTCGACTCACTTCAGTTTCCTGCTGGGATCTGATCTGCTGCTTCACATCAGAGCTTCTTTTCTGGATGAGACGGATCAGCTCAGTGAAGATCTTCTTACTGTCCTCCACTGTTTTATCAGCAGAGTGATTGATGGCCTCCACCTCCTGTTGAAGCAGCTTCACATCTTTCTCTCTGTCCTGGATTCTCTGCTGGATTCTTCCTCGTCTCTCCTCCAGCTCTCTCTGCCTCTCAGTCCTTTCTGCTGCAGCTGACAATGTTTCATGGTCTTTATGTTCGTCCAATAAACATAGACTACATATACACTTCTGATCAGTACGGCAGAATATCTTCATCACCTCATCATGTTGAGAGCATATGTTCACCTGGAGGTTCTTTGAAGGCTCCATCAGTTTGTGTTTCTTCAGTGGAGCCACATCATAATGAGGCTGAAGGTGTTTCTCACAATAAGAGGCCAGACAGACTAAACAGATCTTGATGGCTTTCAGTTTTCTTCCAGTGCAGAAATCACAGGCCACATCTTCAGGTCCAGCATAGCAGTGATCACCAGGAGCAGCTTGGAGTCCAGTCTTCTTCAGCTGCTCCACTAAAGCTGCTAGCATGGTGTTCTTCTCCAGATCAGGCCTCGGTATAAAGGTTTTCTTGCACTGAGGACAGCTGTGGTTTCCTTTCTGATCCTCTTTTTTCCAGTGCAGTTCAATGCAGCTCATACAGTAGCTTTGTCCACAGGGAATAGTCACTGGATTCTTTAATATATTCATACAGATTAAACAGGAGAAGGTTTCTCGGCCCAGCTTTGTCAGAACCCTTGAGTGCAGTGTTTCTCTATTTCTTCTGGAGCACTGCAGGTGGGCGTGGCTGGCTGTCTGAGCACCTGAGATCAATCAACCCATCCACCTGAGAGGGATTTAAGGAGCTGCAGCCATCTCTTCCACGCCTGATGGTCCCCATATTCTGGTAGCTACCAATCTAGCCCTCGTGAAATTCCCCTCGAGAAAGTTTAATCTGATTCCTGTTGAAAGCTTCCTGATAGCTCACCTCTTGTGTCTCTGGATTCCCAGGTTTTATCGAAGCGCTCCTGGACGGATCCCTTCTGCGTCTAACTCAGCGTGCTGATCCTATCTTCTGCAGCTTACAGGTGCTGGTCATAAAATTAGAATATCATGAAAAAGTAGATTGATTTCAGTAATTCCATTTAAAAAGTGAAACTTGTATATTATATTCATACATTACATACAAACTCATATATTTCAGATGTTTATTTTGTTTAATTTTGATGATTACAAATGACAACAAATGAAAATCTCAAATTCATCATATCAGAAAATTAGAATATTACTGAAGACCAATAAAAACAAAGGATTTATAGAAATGTTGGCCAACTGAAAAGTATGAACATGAAAAGTATGAGCATGTACAGCACTCAGTATTTAGTTGGGCCTCCTTTGGCCTGTATTACTGCAGCAATGCGGCGTGGCATGGAGTCGATCAGTCTGTGGCACTGCTCAGGTGTTATGATAGCCCAGGTTGCTCTAATAGTGGCTTTTAGCTCTTCTGAATTGTTGGGTCTGGTGTATTGCATCTTCTTCTTCACAATACCCAGATTTTCTATGGGGTTAAGGTCAGGAGAGTTTGCTGGCCAATTAAGAACAGGGATACCATGGTCCTTCAACCAGGTACTGGTAGCTTTGGCACTGTGTGCAGGTGCCAAGTCCTGTTGGAAAATGAAATCTGCATCTCCAAAAAGTTGGTCAGCTGCAGGAAGCATGAAATGCTCTAAAACTTCCTGGTATGTGGCTGCGTTGACCCTGGACCTCAGAAAACACAATGGACCAACACCAGCAGATGACATGGCACCCCAAACCATCACTGACTGTGGAAACTTTACACTGGACTTCAAGCAACGTGGATGAAGTGCCTCTCTTCTTTTCCTCCAGACTCTGGGACTTTGATTTCCAAAGGAAATGCAAAATTTACTTTCATCAGAGAACATGACTTTGGACCACTCACCAGCAGTCCAGTCCTGTTTCTCTTTAGCCCAGGCAAGACGCTTCTGACGCTGTCTGTGGTTCAAGAGTGGCTTGACACAAGGAATGCGACAGCAGAAACCCATGTCTTTCATACGTCTGTGTGTGGTGGTTCTTGAAGCACTCACTCCAGCTGCAGTCCACTCTTTGTGAATCTCCCCCACATTTTTGAATGGGTTTTGTTTCACAATCCTCTCCAGGGTGCGGTTATCTCTCTTGCTTGTACACTTTTTTCGACCACATCTTTTCCTTCCCTTCGCCTCTCTATTAATGTGCTTGGACACTGAGCTCTGTGAACAGCCAGCCTCTTTAGCGATGACCTTTTGTGTCTTGCCCTCCTTGTGCAAGGTGTCGATGGTCGTCTTTTGGACAACTGTCAAGTCAGCAGTCTTCCCCATGATTGTGTAGCCTATAGAACTAGACTGAAAGACCATTTAAAGGCTTTTGCAGGTGGTTTGAGTTAATTAGCTGATTAGAGTGTGGCACCAGGGGCCATCAATTTTGAACCTTTTCACAATATTCTAATTTTCTGATATGATGAATTTGAGATTTTCATTTGTTGTCATTTGTAATCATCAAAATTAAACAAAATAAACATCTGAAATATATGAGTTTGTATGTAATGTATGAATATAATATACAAGTTTCACTTTTTAAATGGAATTACTGAAATCAATCTACTTTTTCATGATATTCTAATTTTATGACCAGCACCTGTAGTTTCTGTCAGCCTGCCCGCTCTCCACCGCTCCAGTGAAAACTCTCTGACGAACGCCTCAGTCTGACTGACCGCTCTTCACCACCTCTGTGACAGCTCCGTGACCAACGTCTCCTCCCTCAGCGCACCTCCAGCCACCTGCACAGCCTGTGGCAGTGTATTCTAAGAGACTCTCAGCTATTCTCCATTCTGTGTTGGCTGAATTAACAATAAACTCTTCTCCCTTCAGTCGTGTCCGAGCCAGATTCTGCATGTGGGTCCGTAAGGTTCAGCCAGACATGACAAGCTTATTCTGCTCCATTTCTTCTCTTAGTCACAGTGACTGTGTGAGGTCGGAGCTGTAATGTATTAAGCACATGTCAGTGAAGAGAGGCAGCAACCAATCAGCTTTTACCTTAAGCAGGTGTTGGTTACCACCTGCGTTAAGTTATATTTGAGAGCAGGAATAGGGTTGAGAAATGTTACGTTGTGGTGAAGGGGGCATGCAAACATTTAACTGAGTTACTTTTATTGGTTTGACTTTGAAATTATTTTTAACTGTAACCAAGGTTACAGTTACAGATAACTAATGAATTCTGCCAGTCAAGGCTAAGCAATAATCTGAATGTGGCTCAAGTGTTTACAGCTGTCAATTTGCTCATTTACCAGGTGATAACTTGCTTACCTTTTTGTGGCCAGGCTTCTGGACTGGCTGATAAAATCCAAGTTGTCTTATCCATCAATAAATGTTAATAACTTGGTTTACAATTCAAGCAGAGTTATTAATCATTTTCTGCACACACAAAAAATATGTCTCTCTCTGTTCAAGTTTTTGATAAATTATGTGAGCACTACAAACATGTTAAATAAATATAGGATACATAAAATAATCAGTAAACATAAAAGGAAATCAATGAGTCCTCAATTTAGAGTCTCTGTTAAAATTCAATCAATTAGCTCCGCTGTTGTGATGCACTGAAAAACGGTCCATCAGATTAGCAGCACAGATGAAAAGTCTATGTCTCATATAATATAACAGATAAGCAGCTGGAGTTTTTGGTAACATTCAAATCAATCAAATTTCATTAAATCCTATAAATGAACAGTTATCCATGAGCACAATGTATTTGATATGACAGCATTGAGATTTGTATTGAGCAAAGTGGTGATGTGTAGATAAGAGGCTGCTATTGTCAGGGCAACTAAAAGCTTACCGGCTAACAATAGCTAACCAGAGCGAACCAACAAGACACAAAACAAGCCATTTCTGACATCCTCAAATCAGAGGACCCAGTATTCGAGGCAAGACAGACAGTGGGACTACTCAAAAAATGTTTATTTAAAACACGGACCACGGATCTGCAGTAGCAGCGGCTTTGCCGTCTAAGACTGGAACCTCTGCCGGAGAGAAACACAGGTTAGTGAGCATGATAATCTGACAGAGGATGATTATAACCTGATTAAACAGTTCAGTCTGTGACCAGAGAATGAAGTAGGATTCACCCGCTGGACTGCCATCAGGATGCAGCAGGCGCTGCCCAGAGTGCTACAGGACAATATTCAAGAGTCCAAAGCCAGGTCAGGCAAGTAGATCAGAATAGGAAGAGACAGGCTCAGAGATCTAGGAGTCTAAAGACAGTTCAGGCTAACTGTTCAGATGGGAACAGGCAGGCTCAGGGGTTAAGAGGCAGAACAGGTAAGGATCAGGTAATCAGAAACACTCAGGCATGCTAAAAACACTCACACCACTGAGGTCAGATAGGAACAGGCATGCTCAGTGGTTAAGAGGCAGAACAGGTCATGATCAGGAACACCAAGAAACTCTAAAGCACTGACATGTTTTGAGCTGTTGTTTGTAAAGCTAAAACAAAATATTCCCTGGATTTGCATTGGAATTGGTTTGAAGGCATTTAAATTAGTTAAAAGTTTAAAATATATGTACAGTCACATAAGACATGGTCATAAAACAACCCTTAATCGACTAGAATTAAAATGCTTTCTTAAATAGGTTTTCAGTTAACTCTTAAAAACATCAGATGTAGTTTTTTTAAGTTCAGTTCGTTTAGTTTAGTCAATATTTTTTACTGAAATATATCTGGCTTGGAAATAAATTATTGTTGTTTATAAACTCCTATTATGACAGAAAGTTGTTGTGAATGTATTCCATATATGTCCATATTTATCTCAATGACCGTGATTTGAACTTGATTTATGCTGTTATTGTCCTAACATAAAGTCAAAATCTTACTTGATTAAATAACATATTTGCCACACCTACTGGGATGAGCAATACATAGCTGTTGCACAACGTACAAAAATAAAAGTTACAGTGCATGTGGTAACTGCAAGAAACAAACTATGCTGCATCTTTCCATGGCCTCCATTGAACCAACACAGAAGGTCTCACCTGTGGCCCTGATTGGAAATTTTAAAACTGAGGCAGGCATTTTTCAATATGACTGATAAGTCCTGGGTACCAATTTTTGTTTGTAAAGAATTGAGAAAAAACTGTATTGCTTAATCTTTCCCCAACTGACACTTAACATATGAGCTTTAACCTCCTGTGCGTAACAGTTACCAGGACGACAGTGCTCTCTGGTGTTGGTTGGAGGTTTGTGTCAGACCAAAAATTGAGTGTTGACCGAAATCAATACCTGTAACAAAGATAAATCTTTAATTTTGTTTAATTCGTAGTCGAATTGTTGATTTATTTATATGAAAGATTTAAATGTTGATTTAAAGTTCACCACAGAATGGACTTATATCAAAGGCAATCAGAACTTTTCTTAGTTTTTGTAAAGACATTTTGACATCTGTCCAGGTATCATTGTCACCAATAGAAAGTAGAATAAACTTATAGTGGTGGTCATATGTGGTGGAGTATTAAGTGTGAATGAGTTTAACCCATCCTACCAGAAAACAGGTGTACTAAAATTGTATGATTTTAAACAGAAAACAGTTTGACCAAAAATCTACATGTGGTCAAGAAGCAGAAGGGGCA